TAATGCATTCATGGATAACAACACATTTTCATTCCTCTTGTACATTTTTCTTTCGAAAGCGTACTGCTGACCGATGAGCAACTTTAATAATACTCTTCAAAGATTTGATTAATCTTGCATGAAAAATTTTGATATAAGTGGGGAAGAGTACCCATTGGAAGCAATTGGACTGACGAGGAGGTCTCTGATGTACTCGTAAACCACAAGACCACCCACAGGTGATCTCACTAAAGTTACTTGGAGATGTGAAAGCTAGATGAGGCGCAGAGATTATCTTGTAGGCATATCGCAATGAAAAGTGAGATTAGTGCACATAAAAATGAAAACTATCGTAGCAATGAATAATATTTATAGTAGAGTATCATTAGATTGTACTTCTTATGAAATATCCATGAGACAATAGAGAAAAGATTTTTTAATTCTGCTAGAGAACTGAGCGGTGAGCAAAAACAGCTGAGAGAGGCTGATAGCTAACATTGAGATGTTGAAGAATGAGTGGTCGGGCAAATGTGCCTCAGTGGTGTAGTGGTAGAGCACGCGTCCCCGGATAGGATGAAACGTGGGTTCGATTCCCGCCTGAGGTCGTGTTTTTGCTCACCACTCAGTTCTCTTAGGAATAAATAAATGATCATAACACTGCGAGATATGCAGTGAAATAATAGAAATTTCGAAATCTGCTAGAGTTTCAACCACCAAAATAAACTACCGATAAGATCTTGTTCCGAATCATCGATGAAGTGGAATTTCAGAAAATGTGTGGTATAATTTCCAACGTATAATTTAGTTTTCTAATTCTTTTTGAAGATTTTCAAACTATAAACAGCCTTGGAAGGCTCTGCTTAGTCTTGTTGTGTTCCTTACTGACAAAACCCTATATGTTGGAAATAAAAGCCTGAAATCATTACGAAACTACTCAAATTATAAAGGTAATGCTCACCATTATCGCATCAACAGCGCCTACAGCAGCGCGAAAACGTAACGCTACACCGCTTCGTACCCACAGCCGGTGCAAAAGGGTTAAGGAGATTTTTTGAACTCCTTGATAACTACGTTGAAATCTGATGCGGCACGCGACGTGGTTGCGCGGCGAGCGCGGCGGACTACATTTATATGCGGTAGTTTGATATAATTTGAATTTTTATCGTCAATAAAATCGTTTTAATCGAAAAAATTGTGTACGGTTATAGGATATAGTTCAATACGGCTGTCTGTAGTGGAAACGTTGTCAATCGTGCCTCCTAGAAACCTGCATAAGAAATATAATCCATGCAAAGACCACATAATGAATTTTAATCATTCAAAGTGTTACTGGACATTTTTATCTTATTCAGATTCAGTCATAATTTAATCATTTCTATCTTCTATTTCATACTTTTCTCGTTCGTATTCATTGCCGCAATATGTAATATAAAAGAATCAATCACTTTATCGGTTTGTTCCTCTTAATTTAGAAAAATTACAATGCCACTTTATCAAATAACTTCCGATAACTTCTCAACTATCAGTAAGCTTTTGGAGTTAAGATCTTTCTCACTAAAAAAAGGTCTTTGTTCTGTTGTTTATAGATGCTAACTTTCTATTATCCGCGTCTGTTCTGTACTACGAGCACATTTTATCCTGGTGATTCTGACACTGTACATTCGCCGCGTCTACGCCCTCTGGTATTCCTTCTAATTGAATGACCTCAAGACAGTTATGCGCCCTACCTATTCTCACCTCTCCCTAATAATTCCAGTGTGATTCACTATTTTGATACTACCAGGTTGAGAAAAAAGTTTATTAGTCCTTTGACAACAGCCTGAGGTGTTTATAACTGAAGCTGCACCTTGGGGAGTCTTTATTCTTCGCGTTGTAATGGAAACATGGGGATTTATTTGGCAATTTGAAGTAAGGTGGTGATATAATCGTGATTAACTAATAAGATATTGTAGAGGAGACTTCTGCAGAGAGTTTTATAGTTGGCAGCACTCTCATGTATCAGAAATTCATCTATATTTCAACGAAAAGACCACATCGTCATGAAATGGAACATATATGCAGCCGTTATATAGCAGTCGTTTCTTCTGTTTTCATTTATGTTCTTGAAATCATTCGGTAGCATGCGAAATGCCAATCACAAGCTCTGTTTTGCTAAAAGACTTATACAGCTCGTTCTACTAGAAAAAAACAAGGTTTTGCAATATTTCTTCTAGTTTCACAGGCTATTTTCTGACCTTATGTAGTGAAATATTGATTAAAGAAAGCTTTGCCGATATGAGGTATTGAATATTACTGGAGAGATTTCTTTAAACTTGCTTTTAGTAGAAAAAGCATCTGGTTGTTCAAAATGCTTCCACTTCTTACTACAACTTGTGCGATCTGCAACTACATTCTGTGAAATGTAATCGTGTTTCTTTGCTATATTCATTATTCCTATAACTCGAAAAAAAACTGCACGTTGTACCTTGCCAGGTTGAGGAAAAAGTTCCTATACACCCGCGAAAAATTTAATTTTCATGTATGTCTCACACACTATCAAAATTCATGGGAATATATAGCAACGTTAGCTATAGTGCATCATATTTGATTTATCTTTGGATATGAAATGATGGTCATGGCTTGCTGTTTCAGCAGGACAATGCTAAGCCTCACATCGCAAGTAAGACTTTCGAAAACTTTAATGAAATGGAGGGACTCGAGGTAGGAAAAATTTCATGAAATCGAGGGACTCGAGGTCCTGCCTCCCCTAGCCTGCAATCCAGATGCTGCGCCGTCCAATTTGTGTTCCACGATTCCGCTCAATGGGACATTTCCTTCATGGGTGCCAATTCGAGACACTTGATCAAATTGAAGAGACATATCAGGAATTTTTTGATTACTTTTCCGTTAATTCCACCATGTTTGACTCCTTCTTTGCTTTTGTTTGGAGTGTAAGTGGCCATTCGATAGCTTGAACTGAGTGAATTTGGACGGTATATTCTAGTTCTCAAATGGCTTTTTATTTGCGCTGTAATGGATGGAATAATCCTTTGTCTGGCAGTCAAGGTTCTCTCGCGGATAAGGCTTATTCTATGGACCTTCAATAAACTTTCGTTAGCGCAATTCTCAGCGATTTCAGAGATATAGATTGATTCGGAATGATCTCCCTAGAGCGCTATAACAATCAGTAAAATGTTGGGTTTCGCGCTCCAAAGTATGAAATTTCGCAACATTGGCCCCAAGCCCCTCTCTTTTTCCGTCATATCGATTATGTGTGAAGCATAATCTTCTTTTGACTATTTAAGCTCTAAGGATCTATTTCAAAAAGCCATATATTTTTTGAGACGCTGAGATTTGCTATATCGAATTATTACTGAAAGTGTAACGGAAAAGCTTTCTTCAGCGCGAAATGCTTGAGAGTGAACGATATCTTTATCTTTGCTGTTAGAGCTCATTAAGGAAGCCGTTCAAACAATAAAGTATACTTTCACAATTTTTGAGATTTTAGCCATCGAATGGATATTGGAACTCTGAAAAAACCAAAAAACTCGTTTTTTTTTTCAAAAAAGGATGCGGGCATCGAAAGTGAATCAAATTAGCGAAGCCTAACATTCTTTTGATTGTTGCTATCGCTAGAATAGAACCGATAGAGCATATCGGTAGCATAGAACCGATGGAATCATATAGGTAGAATAGAACCGATATGAATAGAAGCAAACCTCTAGATCTACATGGGGCGCAAGAGCACAACAATAATGATTTTGATGTGACTGCCACGATCGTGACTCGGGAATACAAAACATCAACGCGCAAAACCCTCGAAGCGTTCTGGATAAACGCTAAAAACCCAAAAATGAACCGTAAAGATGAATGCGTCACTGTAAGACGGGACTTGGCACCTTACATGCGCTTGAGTTTCTGCCTTGATCCAAGGGGGGATGCTTGCGATCGATACTATTACCGACTCATACAAATATCGAAAACAGTGTATATGTAGGCTCTGAGGAAAGCGGTGTCTCCGAAACGCCAGCCAGCAATTCGTACAGGGATTTATCAACAGCGATCAGCAACGACAACAACAACGTCGTCTACCGACCTCGTTCCACCTAATGAGCTAAGTTTCCAAATGTGAATTGATTCTGAACTTCGATGCCGAGTTTGATAGAAAGTCGATCTCTCGAACTTTTACGTTAAGGAAATATGTTCGTTTCACAATAGTGTGATTTTCTCGTTGGAATTAAGTGATTTTCCCACACATAGGTGGTTGCCTTTTCTACGATTTTCTTCGTAAAGTCTTTTGTGTAACATACCATCATTGGATCAAAGTTTGCTCAGGTAATAATCTCACGACATAATCTCAAAAATTCGCTTTGATGCTAGAACAGTTTACTCCCAAGGAAAGCTTCATTCTTTTTGAGTTATTAGTTTGCACTCTCAAAAACCTAGCTTATTGCTACAAACTCTAGTTCTCAAGCTACCGAATGATTACTAATGATTTGATGGAAAAGCTCTTTCTAGAAAAAGGCGGGAGACATGAGCACTTTCCAAACAACGACCGCATTCGAAGCAGTTTGCATTGGAAAGTAAAGACTTTCAAGATCTTGAATGTTCTTTTGCTGAAAATGCATTTATAGAAGCCACTATAACGATAGTTAGACTTTATAGCGAGAAAGTATATTTAACATAGAAAATTTTACTATATAAACCAAAAATCTTCTGTGGAACTGGAACAACACCTTCGGGAGCAAAACTTTATTTTTTTTGGCTAGGGGAGCGTAATATGATAGTATATCAACGAATCAACTTAAAGTGAGAGTCGGCATTTTCACGCTATCAAATGACTTCAAAAACATGGTTTAAAAAGAAAGAAGTGATTGTTATATAACAGCTGGTAGCAAGCTCAGTTTCAAGAAGATGTAGTTTTTTTCGTTGAAACAAATGATTTCCGACAAGTGGACGTTTTCTTTACCAAAATCCTTTATAGAGTTCTCTCCTGTGGCCCTCTGATAATCCTAAGAGAACTGAGCAGTGAGCAAAAACACGGCCTCAGGCGGATATCGGACCCGCGTTACATTCTATGCGGGACGCGTGCTCTACCACTACACCACCGAGGCAAATTTGCGTCACCACACATTCTTCAACATCTCTTAGGATATGGAATATATTTAATCACAACACCGCGAAAAAAGCAGTAAAAATACTAGAATTTCGGAGTATTAGATCTAATAGTGGCTATGAGCTCAACTGGGTTTATAGAGCGAAATCGCATACCCGACCAAACCTGTTAAAGATGGTGGCTAGCTAACATAGAGATTTGAAGAATGAGTGGTGGCACAAATGTGCTTGGGTGGTATAGCGATAGATCACGCGTCCCTGGATGGGATGAAACGCGGGTTCGATTTCCGCCTGAGGCGGTGTTTTGCTCACTTCTCAATTCTCTTAGAAATATGTGTAACATCATAGCACTGCAAAGAAAGCAGCAAAAATACTGGAGTTATGAAGTATTAGACCTGTGATAGTCCATCATTTAATGCTGATCAACATTTGAGATTTGAAATTCTATAGAACTCGTAATGATGCGAGCTCACAGCGTGCGCGACGCACGGCCTGTACCAAAATGGTACATGTGGTGGTGAAGGTTAAGAAGCAAGCCTAATGAAAATCGTTGTTTTCAAGAGATCGAGTATCAGCTGAAAGTCTAGTGAAGAGCCAAACATAGATGACAGCTGGGCAAAGACACGCTCCGAAAACCAAACGTTATCTTTTGTTGGACGCTACAGCGCAGCATGAAGGTTATTCCAAGAAACAAGTATGGTAGTATCGCCGCTTTTTAGAGCTGTCGAATGACTGCTGAAAGTTTAGTGAGAAATCTGTATCCAGCGGAAAAGGTCTCAAAATTATCAAATCACATTTCTGTAGGGTGGGAGACCATCTAGGTTTGTATTAGCATGATTCATATTTAGCTGATGAAGATAATTTGGATGTGAGCAGTGCAAATGATTTCCGTAATTATTGCTGAGGCAATGTGTCAAAACCGATACGGTGTATGGAGGGAAATTGTTTCCACAATGCTTCCCTTTCATATACTATCCTCATCAGTTCTCAAGATAATCGTGAAAGTCGGATTCGTAGTGGGGTAGTACGTGCCGTCGTCTGGACCTTTGCCCCGCTGTGATAATCTTGATGAGGACTCACCGGCGGTTATCCAACAAGGCTTGATGGAAAGAACCCTTTCGGTGGATGAAAACTTCACGTTGTACTTTTAGTAATCATTCGATAGCTTAGATCTTGGAGGAGTGCTGTATGTGCTTGTTTTTTTAAAAGGTTTTTTTATGGAGCTGTAGCACTCAAAAATTGCTTCACAGGTGACACGCGCTTGTAGTTATCGCGACCACACTTTGCTAGAATCAACAAAAGCACATGAACGTGTAGAAGAGCAATCTTTCTAAAAGATTAACGCAACTTAATCAAAAGGGGCCAATGCTATCAGTGCTGCTTGCTACTTTCTTAAAGCAGGAAAGATCAAAAAACAAAAATGATTTTCCGTCTACAGATGATCAACTTATGAAGTTGTTCAAGCGTCTTTACATTACCTTCACTTGTATTGATAAAGTTCACTATGAGTTGAGATACGTACCATAACGTATAATGATTAATTTTTGAATGATGTGCGTGTTGTATATGCCTCATGAATGTGTTATAAGTGAAACGTGGTAGGGTCCAGTCTAGATATTGTCGATCAGCTGCTCAGCGTCAGTGTCAGCGAATTGTCGCCACTTCGAGATTCAGAAATCTGCGACCAAGAACAACCTTCTTGTTATACGGCAGTGACTAGGCTGTTCAGCTTACGCTGCATCTGAAATGTTTCATTGAAAATAATTTAGCACACTTTTTTGCGATCAAAGTCAGATTTAATCATTAAATTGACTAGTAAAGTTTCTCATGAGTTAATATAAATTTCTGAAAATCTCGATATTACGTAGCTGGGCATTTACTGATGATTAAGCAGCGTTTGAATATAGTAGTCGCCCATTCGCGCTAAAAATCAATCATTAACTTAAGTTGATTAATGTTCAATTACTTCTTTTGAAGTGTCAGCGCATTTATGGATATTACTACCCCAAAAAGAAGTTATCAGATGCTTCAGAAGAAAATGATCAATCTGCTTTCAATCGTTCTAATTCAAAATTTTACCCGGGAGAAGACTTTTGCATTTCCGCATAGCTTGAAATGTCCGCTGTGAAGTCGTTTAGGCGCTGAAATTCGAGATTCTATAATTGTTTTGAATGATAGACAATTCTGGAATTTTTTCAATAAATAGATGCATCTATCTGAAAATCAGAGATATGAAACACATTATTTCGGTAGTAATTTCAGCAACTCTCCTATTTTTGAGTGCACACTGAGCACTGACAATAGAGTCCCAAACGATGCCCAGATAATTTGGAAATTCCTCTGAACTGACAGATTGCCGAAGCGGTCACGACATTTCATGATCGGTCGGTGACACTCTCCAGGAGACGGCAAACAAGAGGATAATTAGCACGCCTAAAAAAAAGACTTGTAACGATGACTGATGAGACATTAAACCATTCAACGTCAGTTATGCCTTAGGCATTTGCAGTGGATTCGGTTCAGTCAACCCGCTCACGACAGCTGTTAGTCGATCACGCAAGACCCTAAAAACAGACCGCGTCGTTGTCAACGCTTTACCCGTCTGAAACGGTTGTAGAAATTGATGCGAGCAGCGCAAATTATCCAACGGTGAGCGATTTTCGTTCTTTGATCAAGGTTCCTTTGTCAATTTTGTGAAATTTCTAAGTTTTTTGTATCAGTTCAATGCAACACGATTTTCATTACTCGCACATATGCCTTTGCTTTATATATATTATAGATATATATATACATATATTTAAATATATATATAAATCTTTTGTGTCTAGGAAAAAAGCCAGTTTCATTGCAGTTATATTGTTTTTGGCATCAAGTCAGTTGTAATAAGTTATATATGTATATATATATATATATATATATATATATATATGTATATATAAACCCAATGATGTAGAGTGGTGTGCAAAAACGTCTGCATCAGCCGGGATTTGAACCCAGATCTTACTCTTTCCGGGAGCATGTGCTTAAGCGTTGCACCACCGACGTTCATTTTGCACTCCACTCTCTCTATACGCTACAACGCGTTATCTGTCAACAGCCAACCGTCTACGGTGTGGCAGGCAGTGAATATCGACATCAAACCCACTTTTTTTGGCCGATATTGGATCCAATAATCAATCGGAAATCATCTTTATTTGACCGCCGATTGCGGTGTTATGATGTTCAAAGAAACCCAATGATGTAAAGTGGTGTGCAGAAACGTTTCCGTCAGCCGGGATTTGAACCTAGATCTTACTCTTAACTTCAAAACGAGCGTCGGTGGTGCAACGGTTAAGCACATGCTCCCAGCAAAGAGTAAGATCCGGGTTCAAATCCCGGCTGACGCAAACGTTTTTGCACACCACTCTACATCATTGGGTTTATTTGAACATCATAACACCGCAATGGGCGGTCAAATAAAGATGATTCCTGATTGATTATATATATAGTTATACAAAGGAAATGAATGCATAAATCTTGTTCTGATTTTTCTTATTATATGCAGTACCCAAGGTCATCAAGGTGATCGAAAATCAGAAAACAATGAATCTTCGGTCAAAAAATGATGATTCAATTTATTCGATAACCCTTAACATTTTTTAGATTAAGCAAAATTTTTTTTATTTAACCTTCCTAACGGTGGTATGATGTTGTAGATATATCCGATGTTGTAGAATAATGTGTTGAACTTTGGCGTCAGTTTGGACTTGAACCTGTATTTCCAGGACGCGTGCTCTAACCCGATGCACATTTGAGATTATTATTGTAATTCAAGAGTTGGGACCCATTTAATGGAGGAAAATCTTTTTCTCCTATCGTTTCCTGGATATTCCTTTTTTATATATGCACCTATACTTATATCAGGTGTACACATATGACCCCAACACTTTTTCTCGCTGCAATAACAGTAAAAAGGATATATTTTTTTGTATAAAAATATTTTATATGGTGGTATTTTGTAGAACTTTGAAAATGACGACTTCTGTACCTGAAAATACCATTTGCCA